AGAAAAAAATTGGAAACGATCTTGAGGCCTTTCAAGCAGTTAAACGTAAGTCCCCTATCCTCAATAATGTAGAACAACGGGTCATAAAAATTAAGATGACACCTGAAATGACTTTAACGTCTGTGCTGAACAACGCGATGGCAGTGGTAAATAACTGTTTATAAAATTCTGCAGCGTCTGTGCTAAACAACGCGATGGCAGTGGCAAATAACTGTTTATAAAATTCTGCAGCGTCAATTACTTATTGGGTACTTGGGTTCTAAATAGTTTTATCCTTCATATTAATTAAGGTTATTTCTAATTCATGTTTATTACGTTAAGAAATTCGGAGGGACGTTTAGTAGTTAAGATAGAGTATATAGTTTTATATATCATGGCCATGTTTACTTAAGAAATAACTTGATTGTATAGAAATAATTTTACTAAAGATACAGTAGATAAAGATTTCATTGCTATAATAAGTCCTGGGCTCAACTTTACACGATATTTTGGCTATATCTCGTGATTTTTTTATACTGTATATAAAAAGAAAAAGCCGGCAAGTCTATAATCTTTTTTTTTTTTTCGTATTAGTTGGATGTCATATCCAACAAATAAAGACACTTAAAGCACCATCTATTTCAAATTTAAGTTTGGGTAATATCAAATGTGTAGCATTTCAGATAAAGAATAATACTAATTCGGAGGTAAAATGTTGTGCCTCGTGATGGTTATATGACTCTACCGTGACTGAGTAGACATGATCATAACTAACATGGCCTATTCTTTAAATTATAAAAGCATATCTTAAGAAAGTCCAATAGATCCTAAATTCATATTCTAAGATCAATCTTAATATATACTGTATATACTATATAAATATACAGTATATAGTAAATACCAATATTTGAACTTGAAATATATTTTTACACTCTCATCCTTAAATTATAAATAACTGTACAAATTATACTGTAGTATATCTAAAAACAATAAAATTGCTTATATAGTAATTCCTATAAATATTATAAATAAGTTATATAAAATTTCAGACTTAAGTGAACAATATATTAATTTTGGGTATCGGAAGAAATACTATATATATATATTTTTTTTAAAAAAATGGATTTGTAAACATTTTATATATTTTATAAAAATGATCTCTTATTTTATAATAGCAAAAAATATTTAGAAGTTAGAAAATTAATAATATATTTGTTTGAGATTAATAAATTTTATAAAAGTT